GCGTTGTTGTAGAGCAATTGCGCAAAGAGCCGCGTCAAGTTTGGTGGGGTGGGCCACTTACTGATGTGGGCCGCTTACTGATAAAACACGTTAATTGCTTGTAGTCTGAGATAAGCATAGCGAATAGAAGGTGCATGAAGTCCCGTCCCCGTGGGTAAAGCATCCCATCAGGAAGAACTATGAAGATCTGGCCCGCATCAAAACCAAAAATCCAGAAATGGCTTCCAGTTCTGAACCTGCTCACACGTCTAGACTGACAAGGGTCGCTATGCGTCTAAAAGTTACAAGTAATATCAATACTAAAAGCCGATCAGGCATGCAGGTGTATAACGTCAGGTATGACTGATGGATTGAGGATCACGATTACATAATGTCAGGATATTCATGAACCTAAAACCATATCTTGAAAAGTCTACAAATCCTTTCATCTACGTTCACGACAGTTCATATCTACTTTATAGCAATGCCGCTTTTAACTGCTATAATTACGCTTGCTATTGCTAGTCCAGCTTTAGCGGGACCAGCCGCCTACGGAGTGTGTCAGGCGGGTTGTTCTGCAGTTGTTATGGCTTGTTACTCTGCAGCTGGGTTTACTTGGGGTGCGACTCTTGGTGCTTCCGCACCGGCTAGCATCATTGCTTGCAATACTGCCTTTGGTACTTGTCAGGCTGCCTGTGCTGCTGTACTTTTGACCCCGATGCTTTAGGAAGTATGGTAAGACGCCTGCCAATTCTCTACCTTGAATTCTTAAGAGGTTGAAATACGAACTATTAAATATGAGGGCTAATTTAAATTGAATAAGTAGAATGAAATAACCTATAATTCCTAGTGCATAAACCCAGTATATAAAGAGTGGCACATGCTATAGTAGCAGGCAGATGTTCTTACGTTGTATCGAGTTTATCCAGCAGTATCTGTGGGAATAGGAACTTAGAGGTATTCGCCCTTGATTTCTGGGCTTCCAAGATTGAAGAAGGTGGGGCTGTTGCAAATTTATACTTTAGTTAGTAAGTACGCGTGGAACGTATCTTTTATTATTCTATAAACCACTGTTTCCTTATTTCTGCGATCTTAACCTTGTCAGTCGCGCAACGCTAGTTGAATGAGCACGTGAATGACGTTTAGAACCAGCATCACAAGTCGTACATACTAAGGTTGTGGGGTAAGCGGAATAGAGACTAGGGTCAGTGCCTCACACTTAATCCGTACCGCTAAACCTCAGTATTATAGTGTGGAAGCACGTGATCTGGGAGTATATCTTGAGATTTCTTTTGAGTGTATTTGGGAACCTTCTTCACTCAACTTAATCTAACAATCAGATAGTAGCTATACACCTTTTACCCAATTGATAGCAGGTCGCTCCTCAATCTTTTAAGGTTGATTACCTCTTGTGCCACATTCTTAGTAAGCTAACGAGAGTGCCACGACAGTCTATCAGCAATAGAAGATACGCAGAGGTGTCGCTAGTGTAGCAATAATAGGACATGCTATTGTAGAAGAAAGTCAAAACAATTTAGCAGATTTAGAAGACAGCAGTAGCGAACACCTATTGCAAAGGCGCAGATTGTAAGTACCAAAATAAAAACAGTACTGGGAAAGGTATTTACCCCCGACTGTACCGAGTAGGACGTATGGATGCATGCCTGCAAAGATAAGCTAGTGAGACC